ATCTCAATTTGGTGCAGATTTTTAGACCACTTAATTAGAGGTAGAAACTATTTTTGGATTTCTAAGTCAGAGTTGCCCTGAGGACACAGGCATGACAGAAGGTGTGCAAGTGTCTGAGGGTTGTGCTCTGGGGCATGTCAGGAGATCTCCTCTAAAGGAAAGAACAAGCTGCTGCCACTTTCATGCCCTCTGTGTAGGAAGAGTCAAAATACTGGATGGGCATTTTAGATATGAGATATCAATTTCCATGTGCCACTTGGACCCCTTAACTAGGTGATCCAAAAAGTTGGGCCACTTGGAATGATCTGCTAAGAAGACACGACAGCTGCTCCCCACAGCAATGCCCCTGGCTACTCCAGGTCGGTGCTTTCTGACAGAAGCTTACAGTCATAGCAATGAGACTCTGACAGCAGACTCAACCAGAAGTTATGGCTTGCAATTTCAGGAAGCGAGGAGAAAGGAAATACCAGTATACGGCCACAGAGAAAACGGATCATTTGAAAACGGATCCTTCTGGGGAGCAGAACAGAAAGGTACAACTTGTCCCATTATAAGCCTCGTATTACAAGTTCACTTTTAACTAGGGGTCTATATATTGTGATAAAAGTAAAAAGGTGAACATTAAAAAAAGAACTTTTAAGCCAGCTGATTACCATCTCCATTCATTAAAAATAAAAAAAGAAATGGCCGATTTAATAACAATAGGAGAGCTTAGGTGAGATGTAGCAAAGACCCTCTCCAAGGAGTGGCTTGCTATGTTTTTTTGGGTCAGTTAGAGAAGATAAAAATGTCATTCTGTAGAGGGTTTGAACACAGAACTAAGTACTAATCCACTGTGGGTAGCATTCAAGTTATCAGCTCTATCTAGAGGCAAGTTGAGGTGATAGAATTCATTAGGAACTTTAATTTAGGATTAAAAATGTATTAAACATGGGTCTTATAATTAGATGAAATTGTAAATTATCAAATAAATACAGAATTACATTAGAGCTAGGATTTTATAATTCGCTCTGAAAGTCCTCTAACACATTGGGATCTAGTCTTTGAAACGGTCAAATTTCATTTGAAATTGCAGGTACTGATTACTCACAGGCATTTACGTCTTGAAAATGATTACCAGGCATGATACATATAAACTGCAGACTTAAAGGTAATGAGCCAGAAGGAAAAACAACCAATATTCCTTAAAAGAGAAAACGATGAGCTTCATTACCCCACCTCATTGGTGCAGTCAAGCAGCAGAGGCAAATGAAGGGGATTTCATCCTGAGTTCAGGAAGTTGTAGAACGAATTCTCTCTCCAGGAACAAATTTCCCTGCAAGGGCCTGGCCCTGGCCTGAGAGGTGCCCATTTCCACCCGCAGGTGAAGACGGACATGACTGCACTGCCGCCACGCTATGTGTGAATAATACCACTGACTGGTGTGTGCTAAGCGTGTGGCCAGGATTCACACCTACACTGTCCTGACCCTTTCACACCTGGAGGGTTCTGTTCATAGCCCTTCTGGTTTGCAGGGAATAGCCCTGTGTTTCGGTCAACTCTCGCCTTCCAGAGTGTAAGTAAGGGAGGGGAACCAAAGGCAGTTTTCTAACTCCGAAAGTTAAAAACCAGCACAGGCGAAACCCGTTTGGCTCAGTGGATAGAGCATCAGCCTGCGGACTGAAGGGTCCAGGGTTCGATTCTGGTAAAGGGCATGTATCTTGGATGTGGGCACATCCCCAGTAGGGGGTGTGCAAGAGAAAGCTGATAGATGACTCTTTCATTGATGTTTCTAACTCTTATCCTTCTCCCTTCCTCTCTGTAAAAAATCAATAAAATATATTTTAAAAAATAAAATAAAAACCAGCTCAATGTTTCCTTCATTTAGAGGGCTGCAAGGTTTACTGTTAGATATGGAGAGCATTTAAAAAGTACGGAGAGCAAAGAACCTCACAGATTTATTAGTAACACGTTATTTGTCATTCTTTGACCCGGTAATTTAAGACATTTCACTGAAATTGTTCCACATTTAGGGTCGACCCACTATGGACACAACACGCTGTGATTCACGTGGTCCAGTCTGGAGCACAGTGGGGTGGCCAGCAGCTCCCTCCTCCACGCAGGGCTGGTGGGGGCAGATCTTACGCTGTCAGCTCCCAGCACTCAGTGCTTCGTCATTTACAAATGCTTACCTTTAACTGCCCTGGCCTTCCATTCTCTTTTTAGGGGTCGGTAGAAGGGATAAAAGTTGTTAGTCTTTTTCATTCTCTTCCTCTCAGCTTTCTGCAATGCTAGTAGTAAGTGCCAATGACAAAAGAGGCAAAGACCGTTCCAGGCATATGCTCTGACGTGTGCTCTCTGCTGCATCTCAGGCTGACTGGGCACACCTACACCAGTCTCCCCATGGGCTCTGGGTGCAGAAGCAGGAGGCAGATGGCAAGGGAACTGACTCAGTCATACCACTATCACAGGGTGTGGGGGTGACGGGGTTCTGGAAGGAGCCCTGGCCGCTGCAGTAGAAAAAGGGCAGCCCGGGTTGTGGGGAAAAGGTCAGTAACATTCCAGAAGAGGTGAGGAGCGGTTCCCTCTGTGACACCTTCCGGGCTTTGTGACACTCCTCACAGCCTAGGCGGGAGTTGCTCACCACTGTCTCTGGGAAACCACCAGCACTTCCCTGTTTCAATGCTTGTACACATGGTCACGGGTTTTCTGTATTTCCCCCTCTAGGCAATGGTACAGAACATTTTCATATTTATGTGAGAAGGTTTTACACTCTCCTGCCATGTCCTTCCTTTGTCCTGGAAACATATGTGAGAATTCTTTCTGGTTCCCAGGTTCTGGCCTCACATGCTCACCAACACAGCAAAGAGGCTTTTGATTATATTTGGGACCCACCATCCATACAAATGGCATGGTTGCTATAGAAACATAAGAATGAGAAAGGGGGCAGCAAGTGGTGGCCCAGAATAAACACATAAATAAAGTGGGGGAAATAAACCGCGGTAGAGTGAGAGTGGCAATAAAACCTTTATTATCAGTTATTTGGGGAAACCTTTCTCTCTAATGTGACCATGCCAAGCTTAACAACAACAAAAGAACGGAACATAATCTTTGAGCATTTTGGCGTGTGATTTTGGAAAACTAATTTCTTAGGTCTCTTCGAAGTTGGGATTAAAAGTTCATAGTTTTTGAATCTTATTGTTGGACAGAATATAAAGTATACGATCTCCTGAGACAAACATTCCGGTCTATATATGGTCAGTGGTGCTCTAGTGATGAATGTCTTTAGCAAATACAAATCGCTAGAAATTTCTTCAACCAGCTTTGTGTTTATATTTCTACCTTGTTGGAGAATAATGTGCTGATTCAAGAGAGAATTTATGAGTTGGCTATGGATGTCAGCAGCAGCGTGGCCTCTGCTTTGTTTTCTACCACAAAATTCAAGATGTGCAAACATCAAACCTATTATCATTTGTTTGTAGTCCCTGATGTGCTTAGTCAAATAGCCAGTCTTACCTAACACAAGCAAATGTTTGGCCATTGAAGCAGAAGTGCAAACATTAATGAATTCGTTTTAATTGCTCTTCCCTGCTGAGGGCTGTTTCTGTCGGTAAGGAGTGCTGTACACAAAGCTATTATATGTAAAAATATTCATAAACAAATACCAATCCTAAGACCTGAAGGCATTGTATGAAAGACTTCCAAATCTATGTGTTATGCCAGAGTGTAACCATTGTGAAAAATGCATAAATTTGAGAGGAAGGTTAACAGAGTTTCAGACATGACCATTCAGACTCAGGCAGAATAGCAACTAACACTTAATCTATTCAAAAGAGCTAATTATATAACCTGAAGAGACTTTCCTGGGGTGGGTGGTGGTTAGTCTCCTACACGGATGGTGGCACTGGTGGGACTGGCAGCAGAGCCACCTACACAGAGGAATCTCTGGCAAATATGCTGAAGAGCCAACAGGCTCAACCACCCCTTCTCACAAGAACATTCTCTCTTCACTAACAGCTTTGAAGTTTGGGTTTGGCTTTATTTAGGTAACTTAAGGGTGTTCTTTATTTTATTTTCATAGTAAGCATAGGAAGAGACCCTATCTCCTTTGTGCTTCTTTATAGGAATCACATCTATGGCCTAAAACCCATGCACACTCTAGACTACAATTAAATCTGGCTGGGAAGATAGGTGCTCTTTTCCTCTAAAACATAATGTGAAGATGATGAGAAATTATGATCTTCCCCAGCAAAAAAAATTAGGAGCCATTTGAATTTCTTCCCTGTTCACACATCGTTACCCCTTTTCTCTCTTTATGTGTATAACCAGTCATCCAAAAGCAAGTAGCCAAGCACATCTTCCTAGTCTTGCTTGGTCTATTCTGAGCATGGCTGTCCCAGAGGGTCATATTCCCAAGAATCCTATCTGAAATTCCTAGACTTTAAGATGCTTGTTGTAAAGATGAACATCCCTCTCATCTTAAGGCTGAAGAGGACAACAGAAATATATGTTCAAGCAGTGATTCTCAATGGGGTGGGTCCCTGGGGAAAGTATTAGAATCTTGAGGAATGAGATATTAATAGCACTAAACAAAAGCATGAGATTCTTACGTTTACCAAAAAAGGAGACATCATTTTCAAAAAACTGCTTTAGAGCAAATAAGAAACTAGGAACAAAGGTCATGCTTGAAGTTACCTTGAACACAGGGAAGACGTTTTAAAGGAAAATCCACATCTTAAGTCATTCTGTTAGATTAAAGGAGCAAGAAAAAGTTTCACATAAAAAAATCACAGGCTAGGGTAGTATGGACTAATTCAATCTGAAATTGCATCCCCTGTAATCACCGTCATAGAGATAACGGAGATCCCTTTCATGGTCTTGGGTACCGAGCTGGAACTGCTTGGCATCTGCCTGATGAGTAGGCTCTGCAAACTCTTCCCACAGACCTCTGTGTACCAAAGACCCTAAGCTGCCCACACGCTTCTTCCAGGCCAAACAGCATTGGCTACCATTCCACTTACGTGAGCTTTTGAAGTCTTTCTTTTTCAGTCTCCTCCTCATCATGGTTCCACGTGGACTAGTGGAGTAGAGGCTGCGAGGCAGAGTCCCCATGTTCAGGGAACTCAGGCTGTATGCACTCATGGAGGTAGGAGAGAAGGATGAAGACACCAAAGCTGCTGTAAGAGAATGAAGACTTGGCACAGAGCATTCCCAGGTGGGGTGTGAGCCCGCCACACGTGCCAACCAGCGACAACCCAGGAAGACACAGCAGTAGCGAGTAAGTGCCCCAGCCAGACAGAGACAGGTCTCGGGAGCCGTGGACACAGCGCTTTAGATTCTGAGTTATGAGAGCCCACGGACAACCAGACGGCCCTCGCACACACAGCGGGACACAAAGAGAAGCTCGATGAGTTTTGCTTTACACACACAAAAATCCCAAACATTAAAAAACAAGTTTCTCCATAAACAACACAGTGCATCCCACACGTAATCTCATTTTCATAGATACTTTCTGACATGGCTTTTGCCAGAGAGTCCACATACACAGAGAAGGTCTGCGAATACTGTATGCTCTATGGCACTCTGGGTGGTTATTTCCTGACCACAGGTAAAGCATTCTGAACACTGACATCCTCTCCTCATGACAAATGCTTTGGATGGGAAAGAAAAAGACGTAGGGGATGGCAGAAACGATAAAGTTGTTACAACGAAAGAAGCATACAACACCCATGAGCAGATACGGTATGAAATGGATGAGCGAGGAGGGAGATGAAGATCCTTTAAAGAAAGGAGCAGGAGGAGAAAGCCTGGAACATTACGAGGGCTGTTGGAAGGAGGCACTTTCGGGAATGTCAGGGCCGGCAGTCTGCCATGGTCGGGGTGAAGCGCGTTAGAGTGATGGCAGGTGTGCAGGCTGCAGTGGCTGCTGGCCCAGGAATCCCAGGTAGGTTGCCTGTTGCTCCTCTGAATTTTCACTGCCCATATGAAGTGATGATGGGAAATAAGAAAAACAAACAGACAAAGAACCAAAAAAAAAGAGGAAAAATAACTGAATTGCACAAATAAGAAGTGTAACAAAAATGAAAGCTTCTTGAAACAAACAAACAAACAAAAAAAGAAATCTGTCTCCTGCCTTCACCCTTTTCTCAATGGTCAGCAAAACAGATGATTAAAATCAGGATGGACACTTTCATCTTCCCAAGAACAATGCTTGTTTTTCCCCAGCCCATTTCCCCCCTCTTCTAAAGATGCCTTTTGATTCGATTTCTAATCTCCCCCAGTGCCTCAGAACAGAGATTAAAACCATTTTTTTTTAAACATAGAAGTCAACCCCATAATGATTTATGGCAGGTGATTAGTAATTGAAGATTTGCAAATCTTGGCTAGTTAGTAGCATTTGTTTTGGGAGAGAAAAAAGAAGAAACAATAAATCTCACAGGCTCATGATTCAAGTGGTTTACTGGCCACACATCACAGTTTACTGCTCTGACTTAATTGCACTATGATCCATCATTTGGACTTGATTTTTTTCAACATTAAATCACTCTAATCATCTATCAATGTCAAAATCTTACCTGTATCCTAATAAGGAGAAGATAAAAGGCTCAATATAATACATTTTTTTTTAGTGTTTTTGAAAGAAGGTACTTACATTTGAAGGCAATAATTAATTCTTTAAGTATTTAATACATTCTTAAATTTCCTTAAGACGCTATAAAATTTTAATAGTTTATTTTAAAAAGATGGCATCCTTTTTATTTAAAAAAATGTATATTGTATTTCCTTTCTAATTCCAGTATTGTTTCAATTTGATTTTCTACTTAGTGTTCTAAAGTGTGACCAATGTTATATTTGTTACTATGTCTGATATGAAAAATTTCACTTAGGCTACTTCAATGGGTTACAATGACCAAGAGATTAGGATGTGACTGCGCTTTATCTCCCCAGCTTCATACCCTATCATTCCACACATCATTGGTCTTACATTTGTTGGTAATACAAGCCAGGCTCCCTCCTACCTCAGGGCACTTGCACTTCTATTCTTTCTGCCTCTCATATTCTCCTCCCAGTTGTTTGCATGGCTGGCTCCTTCTCATCCTTCAGATCTCAGCTCAACTGCCACCTCCTCAGAGTTGTGGCTGACTTCTGTGACTGAAGTAGCTGCCTTCTCCCACACTGTCCTATCACTGTTTTATATTCTGCGTAGCACTTATTACTGTTTCATTTATGTAATGCATTTTCAGTGTTTGTCTCTTTATACTAGAAATCCATAGAATAGGAATCTTCTTTGATGTCTTGCTTACCAGATGCATTGAGGCAACTTTAACCATGCCTAGTACATAATGACTGACGAATGAATGAATGAATGAATGAATAGCTGAATGCATGATGAATAGGAATATCAGGGAAAGTGTCCATGTTTGCATTGCTGCAGCATTTTCCTTGAGATAAAGTGTTGCAAGGCAAGTCCCTAATGGATTCTCCTTCACTGTCCTTATTCTACTTTGTGGTGCAGAAAACCATATTTTATAGCAATGTGCAATCATTGCTGGGTCAGGCTAATCTACACCCACAGCCATCGATTTTACTCTTTACAAAATATTGCCTGTGTTTCCAATGAAGTATAGTGAGTGGACTTCAGCATTCTAAACGGAATTTTTGAATCAGTTCTTTATGGAATGCTTTGAAAATAACTGGGAATTTTTGGAGCTGTCATATATTAGGCAAGTATTTCAGGAGTTTAAAAATAAAACGTTAACATTTTTTTTTAACACTGTCTAAGTTTATATAACAGCTTGTCTCACAGAGGAGAGCACCGGAATAGGTTAGACTTTGTTACCATAGCAAGCTAAAATGTCACTTTTTTAAAATCAGATTCTTTCATTTTGCAAAAAACATTCATACAATTTTCCCATTCAATGGTCTCAATAATAACATAAGACTTTCACTGAATACTTGCTATACACCAGACACTGGCTAAGTGCTTTTCCATTGGTATCTCAGACAGTGTACTCAATAGAATCGTGAGATAGGTACTATTCTAACATCCATTTTACAGAAGAAGAAACCGAGGTATAGGAAAGTTGATAAGTTGCTTAAGGTCCCAAGTGGTGGAGCCATAATTAAAATTCTGGAAGTCTGACTCGAGGGTTCCTTCCCTCAGCCACCACACTACACTGCCTCTGCCTTTGTAACAGGTAAATGAATAGTGAAAAGACAATGCCGTTCCCATCATTCCATGATGACACCATTGCTGCAGTCTTAAGAGGTATCTGCCTTGGAGTTGTCTTCCTCTCTAATTGCACCCTCTTGCCCTTTCTGGGACGCCTGAGGGTATAGGCAACAGCAGCTTTGGTGTGGTTCCTGGAGCTCGCTGATGCACATCCTCTTGGCACAGAATATATCAAACCTAGCAATTCCGCTTACATTTACCCCCTAAAGTCTCAATTTCCTTCAATTATGATTATGTATCCCCAAGATCCTCTTAGGGTACAAATTCTAACCTCATGGAAAAGTCATTCTTGCTGGCTTTTTTACTAGCAAAAAGCTCAGTTGATCTCTGATTCCTAGTTGATAGGCCCATTTCTATGTTTCATGAAAACACCATGGTGAATGCTTTGTTGATAAGCAAAATTTGGAAAATGTTGTATCTCCCTCCCCTGGGATGAGAGACATGCTGTTCAGACATCAGAGATCTTGAAAAATAACCAGAACTTCCTTGTGGGAAAAAGTGTAAAACTATGTTAGACAATGTTACTAATTATAAAAAGAGAAGTCTGAGGATTATGAACACCATTTTTGGGAGGTATTTCCCCCCTACTTCATAACTGTAATCTAATTATGCTTAGGAACCTATATTTATTTCTTTTAGGAAATGCAAGTCTGATATTAATATAAAATGTAGGGAGCTGCTTCTTGCTTGATAAGGAAGATGGTGAGCAATTTTCAGCAAAAGTGGATGATATGGTCACAAATTAGAATTACTTAAAATTACCATATTCCCTGAAAAATCATAAATGACATCATGGTCTCTACAGTGAAGAAAAAGAATTTGTTCTTGGCCCCTGTACATTTTAGTGTATACATTCATTTTCTCAAATTGCCTTGACAGGTAAAAATATTATTTCACATGTTGGAAACAATTTGAACTATTTATGATTTGTATACAGGGCAAACAAAAAGGAGAAAAATGAGGTTGCTAAGGACAATGACATTTTTTTAAAGAGTCTGTTAAGCATTTCTGGTTCACCGAAACCAGAATTCACCAAGCAATGCACTCTCCTCCCTACTGTGCTCCAAGTCCACGACGACTGCAGATTAGTTTAGGAGAACCTTAGGGTTCTAGAAATCTCTCCTCGCAGCCAGTGCACAGGCAGGAAAGGCCCGAGGGGCCTCCCGACAAGAGTGGCCTGCATCCCCAGGGACTGCGTCCTCTGAGCTCCTCATCATTGCCACTCACACGAAGCAGAGTTTCTTCATAACCTGTCTGTATGGCATCGTCTCTCCACTCCCAATGTGTAAAATTAAAATCAGATAAAGGCAATGCTGTACTAGAGATTTTCATTAGCTCCAGGGCTGCCTAAGCTCCATTTAATTAAAAGAGGTTGCATTCAGTTGACTCATTCAGTATGAAAACTAACTGGCCCCTCTCTTTCCCCACCCCCCCCAAACTGTGGAGAAGTGCAGTGTGCTTTAGGAGGTGGGAGACACTAATACAAATGACCTCCTCATAAGCAAACCCACAATTGCAGAGAAAACTGTTCTCTTTCTCTAAACATACAGCAGTGCCTTCTTCACCTCTACGGCACCTTGGAGGCTTTCCGGATTTGATTTCAGGAATAAAAAAGGAGGGCACTTGGCTTAAGGAAAAGGATGGAGGAGGAATTGGAATAAAGGCCCCACTGGAGAGATTTTCTTCATTTGATTTTGGGCTCAAAATACTTTTTATTGCACCAGGTTTTGTTTAAAGAAGCCCAGGTGAGGGTATATACAGAGAGGACAAAAGTAGGTTTACAGTTGTGAGTATAATTTGAGAATTTATTTTACTGTTATTATTTACTAGAGGCCTGGTGTACAAAATTCATGCTCTGGGGGTAGAAGGGAGGGGGACATCCCTCAGCCCAGGCTGCACCCTCTCCAATCTGAGACCCCATGGGGGATGGCCAACTGCCAGTTTAGGCCCAATTCCCTGGCAGTTGGACATCCCTCTCACAATATGGGACTGCTGGCTCCCAACAGCTCACCTGCCTGCCTGCCTGCCTGATCCACCCCCTAACTACTCCTCTGCTAGCCTGATCAACATCTAACTGCTCTCTTACTGGCCTGATTATCCCCAACTGCCCTCCCCTGCTGGCCTGATTGCCCACAACTGCCTTCCCCTGCTGGCCATCTTGTGGCAGCCATCTTGTGACAACATGGGGATGGCCATCTTGTGTGAGGGCATGATGGTCAATTTGCATATTACCTCTTTATTATATAGGATTAACTAGAGGTCCAGTGCATAAAAATTAGTGCACTCAGAGGAGTCCCTCAACCTGGCCTGTGCCCTCTTGCAGTCTGGGACCCCCTCAGGGAATGTCTGACTGATGGCTTAGGCCCGCTTCCCAGGGGATCAGACCTAAACTGGCAGTCGGACATCCCTTTGGCAGCCCGGGAGGCCTCAGGGCATGTCCCACTAATGGCTTAGTCAGACATCCTTAGCACTGCTATGGAGGCCTCTCCCGCCACTGCCATTGTGCTGGCCAACCATGAGCCAGCTTCTGGCTAAGTGGCACTCCCCCTGTGGAAGCACTCTGACCACCAGGGGCAGCTCCTGTGCTGAGCGTCTGCCTGCTGGTGGTTAGTGCGCTTCATAGTGACCCGTCATTCCGCCTTTAGGGTCAATTTGCATGTTACCCTTTCATTGTATAGGATGATTGTATTATTTTCCATATGAACAATTGTAAACCTACTTTTGCCCACCCTATAAATACTCAGAAAACTGTGATTTGTGGGATGGTAACACTGTAGATTCCCTCAGCTGACAATTGCTATTGAATAGGTGTACTCAAGTATTAGGATTCTCTCAGGGCAGATATGTGGTCAGAAGGGTTGTTCTCCATTCTAAGAAATACACTTCTCTGGCAAACAGACAAAATATAAAGTCAACTCTTCATACAACTATTCCCCACTCCCAAATATTTGAAGGGCCTGCTATTAATACCCACTTTATAACTATTTAAAAAATGAAAGTTTTACTATTTACCTTCATTGTCCTTCAGAGTGGAAATTTAATATAACAGGATATTAAATAACTTCCATTCTCTCCACACACAATATACATCAAAGGTGTTTTTTTGTTTTGTTTTGTTTTGTTTTGTTTTGTTTTTAAATATAAAATATTACTAGCCTGACAATTCTTCAAAACATTCTCAAACAAGATTTCTTTGCTTAATTTGGAGCTTTTTAGTGAATGACCTGTGTTTTGGCAAAAGAGATTCAAAGGCTAAAGAGCAGTAAACAAATATAACCTGCTGTTTTGAAAAGAATGATTAAGACAGAATTAAACCCAGGATCTCCCTAGCTCTGCTGGAAGGAGTAGCAACTGCACAGAGAAAGCAGAGCCTTATCCCGGGGGCCTCTCACCGTGGTCAGGTCCCTTCAGCGCCAGACGGGTCTGGTGGTGGGGCAGGATCTCCAGCTTGACCTGGTCGGTGGTGTTGGCCAGGAACTGGGTGGCCTCGGCCAGCGTGCAGTACTCCATGCTGGTGCCATCGATGGACAGGATGTGGTCGCCCACGTGCAGTGCTCCACACCTGCGGGAGGGGAAAGGCTCAGTGCGCTTCCTTTTGGGAATGCGGCTTTCATGTCCTTCAAAGTTGAATTTCACAGTTTCCATTTACCCCACCAAAATACTGGCGTGTTACAGGAAACACCATGGCAAATGTTAAGAACACAGGAATAGGAATGTAAAAACTTGTGGCAAATACAGAACAACTCAAGGAAGTGTTTTCCTCTTGTCCTTTGAAAACCTGCAAACGATTATTTTGGGGTAAAGGTGCCAGGTGTTGAAGAGAAATGAGCAGGAAGACAGGAAAGGACGGGCAATGTGTTTCCCTTGTCTCTTCCTGCTATGTTTATAAATATGATTGTAAATACTCAGAATGTCGAGACATGGCTCACAGAGTTCCAACAGGGACATTGATAACTATTTTATGTGTGAAGGGGAGTAATTTGGGGAAGTTCAGCTAAGTCTTCCTCAGGCCCTTTTCACACAGGCCCCCAGATCACCAGTTCTGTCTTCTTGTGTTTTATTTTGTTATTCTGGAGTTAAACACTTGTGAGTACAAAAGCTCTTGAAGACGTGGGAATTATGCAGGAGGCACTAAACGAAGGCCTGCATGGTGAGAGATGGGGAGCGCTGGGGGCAGAAGGGGTTGCTATATCTCGCCGAGTTCAGAGACTAGCTACTAGGTGAGCAGAGAAAAGCAAACACCGTGGTCAGCACCACACCTGATGTACCAGGCAAGTGGACAGCTCCTTACGCTGCTTATCCCTGCCAGATGGGAAAAGACAGGGAGGAAAGGAGAGCATCCTGCACCACTGAACTGGACACACCTGGATCAGTGGCCCTCATGGTTAAAGGACAGAATGCAAGGTAAGACCACAGGTGGGGTGGTAGGCTGACCATTACAAGGGTTGTTGCAGGTCACTGCACACAGCCAGATGTGTACCAGGCATGGTGAGGGCATATGAGGAAATGGGCTGAAGACTTGCAGGGTGAACTGGGCATTCAATCTTATGTAAACATGTCCACAGTGTGGATAGTCCACCTCTCAAAACAAAAGCATTTCAAGTCATCTCTTCCATCTAAATTGATAATTCCACGTGGAGGTACTTGGAGTGCGTCAGCTATGGGAAGTGGGCTTTTTCTTACCGGAAGCTATAAAATATGGTATTAGGTAGTAAAGTCATCTTTGTTATCCCTCTTCTAACTTGTAAGTCTAAAATATCAGTAAGGAAAAGAAATTCAAGAAAAAGGACTTTTTACTTTAACTGTCATAGGAATGAATGATGTTTTTAGGTACCCTTGAAGTTTGTAAAACCCTCAGATTAACATACTAAAAGTTGGACCTTTCTTTAAAGACGGTATGATTAAAAATTTGTTTTATTCCTTTAAGAAAAAAGGATTGGGGCTCTATGGTAGCAGGGCTGAATTGTTAGCAGTCAGGGAACGCCATGGCTTCCCAGCATAGAGCCTAATAACTTCCCTCAGCTGCCCTCGTCCCATGACACGGTAGGAAAACTTACTCAGCTTGACTTTTTTCTTTGCCATTTTCAAAGGCCACACCAAACATTTGGAGGAGGTGACATTACATCATGGGGTGTCTGATAAGACCCTTGGGACTTTTTAAGCCCTAGTACACGAACTTGTTTTCTAACCGAACCTTGTGAAAATTGGCAGGAGAGCTGTGTTTTACTGTGTGTGTATGCAAGTATGTGTGTGTATGTATACAGTATGTGAAAACCTGCATACATATAGTATTTGTGTGTGTGTTTTAACACACATACCATTTTGAAAAGCTGGCGCTTCCTACGACACTCACCTGTCCGCAATGCTTGCAGATTTGATTTTGTCTATGACAATGACCTGCTTGTTACAGCACATCGAGGTAGTAAGCGCAACCCCTAGGCTGGCACCAGGAGTTTTGGCAACTTCAACTAGTAATGGCCCGGATGCTGTTGCCACAGTATCTAAGAAAGAACGAATTTCAGAAAACAAAACAAAATTAGACAAACAACCAGACACACAAAAACATGGAGAATGTTCAGTCTGATACTGGCCTATTGATTTCATCACTAAAACTTAAAATTTCCTCCCAATGACGTCCCCACAGCCAATAGCAACTTCTTGGGGCATCTCCTAGGACACCTGTTCCATGCAGCTGGTCTTCAGTAATGCGGGCTCAGGCCTATCTCTTCAGTTACTGCTAAGCTTCACATCAGTTGGGATTAGGTCTGTGAATCTGTATGCCCTCTATATCACTTGGCACATACAGTGCCTGGCACATACTTGGTCTCATACTTGGCACATACTTGCATTGGTGAGCAGAGAAAAGCAAACACAGTGGTCAGCACCACACCTGATGTACCAGGCAAGTGGACAGCTCCTTACGCTGCTTATCCCTGCCAGATGGGAAAAGACAGGGAGGAAAGGAGAGCATCTTGCACCACTGAACTGGACACACCTGGATCAGTGGCCCTCATGGTTAAAGGACAGAATGCAAGGTAAGACCACAGGTGGGGTGGTAGGCTGACCATTACAGGGGTTTTTAAATTAATTTATCAATGCAATAAACATCTTAGCACCTACTCTAGATAGCTGGATGCTGGAAGAAAGGAAGGGAGGAAGGTGGGAAAGTGAGAAGGAGGGAGGGAGAATGGATGGAAGGATGGGTGAACAGATGGGTAGATAAATGGATGATGTCTCTAATTAGCACATAGCAGGAATGTGTACACTAAGTTGAATCTGTAAATCCACTGGTTCTTTCCTCATTCTAGACATGATCTGGGGTCCCCTCTCCCTCAGGAGTGACTTCAGACATGCTTTATTTTTGCTTCAGAACACTCTTCATTCCTGCAGCTCCTACTGACCCTTGGGACTCAGTGTAAACATCAGTTCCTCTGGGGAGCCTCTCCTGACTCATGGTTTCTCTGTGCGCTCACAGCCTGCTGTATTCCTGCTTGCAGCAGACACCTCAGTGGCTCAAAGGCAGTGTGGGTTATAGGCCTCTATCCCCCTACTCTCCCTAGACTGTAGGCTTGCTGCGAAGGCAGAGACTTGCCTTGACCATCACAGCATCCTCAGTGCCTGGCATAGTGATGGGTACAGAGGAGTGTGCAATCAATAGCTGTTTAATGAACGTATGGACAAATGATAAAACTCAGGAAATAGCTTAAAGCTCAGAAGAGGCAGGGGTCATACAGGAAACAGCACTGGACACAGAGTTAAAACATCTGCATTTAACTCTTCTTTTCACAATATTTTGGTCATGATTCTTTAGACCCGTGTTTCCTAAAGTGTGGTACGTGTACCCCCAGGGGTACAGGAAGAGTCTGGTGGGGGTATGCGTTGCACCGGAGTTTGGTGGGGATATGCACTGCACCATGCTTAGCTGAGCCTAATTCTATGTTCTCATGAGTACGAGAGGTACTCAGCGTTACGAAAATTATAGAAGGGGTACACATATGTCAAAAGTTTGGGAAACACTGCTTTAAACAAGTTACTAAAACCTTCCAAGTCTGCTTGCTTACCTATAAAATGGTTTTTCAAGTGTTTATTACACCAAAACCAATGTGTAATTAAACATTTTATAATTTTCAAAGTGCTATATACAATACGATTATTTTTGATGTATTATGACCTCAAGCCTTGAGTCATCTCATTTTTCAAGACTGTCTTTCTGATTTTTATTGCTCTGGTGTTTGAGACTTCATTAATACAATCTTGTCATTATCACCAAGACCCCACTCAGATATAGTAAACCAGAAGTCTGTACTCCTGCTACTGAGATTCAGGCAGTCTGCATTGACTCCTAAAGACGAAAGTTCCATGGGGAGAGCCATTTTCAGTCTGAGATGCAATAACATATTTCTTAAATGAGGTAAAGACAGAATATTCATGTCAGCAATGAATGACTGGTGATATTGAAATAATTTAGTCATTAAAAAAAGAAATAATTTGCCCTGCCTGGTGTGTTTCAATTGGTTGAGTGTGGTCCCTGCACCAAGAGGCCACAGGTTTGATTCCTGCTCAGGACACATACCCAGGTTGTAGGCTTAATCCCCTTTAGGGTTGTGCAGGAGGCAGCCAATGGATGATTCTCTCTCATCAATGTTTCTCTTTTTCTCTCTCTCCTTTCCTCTCCCTCTAACAACATATTGAACAAATAAATTATTTAGTTCTAAAAATGGTTGAGAGACCATGAGGGCCTGTATCTCTTCCTGTCAATTCCAGGGCAGAGCCTCATTGCTAATAGCTGGAAGGAGCCAACAATCTTGGTCTGCTAAGAGGACTTTTTGGACCTGTAGTTTCATGCCTATAATTTTCCCATTATAATATTATAACTCCCAGAGATTGTTCCCAACCTAACCCTACAGAGGCTGCTACTCTCTGGTCTTACTCACCTTGCTGTTTGAATTCCCTTCACCTAGGGGTTTATAGTGAGTGGTCTATAGTGAGGGGTTTTTAGTGAGTGGTTTATAGTGAGGGGTTTATATATGAAACGGCAATTTTCTTCTCATCTGTGGCAGCTGGGGCCCCCCAAAAAGAATTCTGGTGAGTCCCTGAAGCCCTTGATTTAGTCATCCTTCCACGATGAGAGTAGTTGATCCTGCCTACCTCTCAACTCTGATAGTCAAAGTTCTGCCACAGCCCATGTGCACCTAGTCTGATATCTCCAGCTCCATCCAGAAGCTTGTTGTCCTCTTCCTTGAGTATGATGCCCCCTGAAAACCTCACTTCCTTCTCAGGTCAAACCTCACAGGAGGCTCTGGCCTATCAGGGTGTTTCTATGTATCCTATATAATAAAAGAGTAATATGCAAATTGATCATCACACCAAGACACAAGATGGCCACTACCATGTGGTCAAAGATGGCTGCCCCACGTGGACACAAGATGGCTGCCACAAGGTGGCCACACAAGATGGCATGCAGGGGAGGGAAGTTGGGGGTGACCAGGCCCCCAGAGGAGGGCAGTTAGGGGGACCATGCCAGCAAGGGAGGGCAGTTGGGCGGGGGGGAGGGCTCAGGCCTGCAGGGTAGGGCAGTTAGGGGAGACCAGGACTGCAGGGGAGAGCAGTTGGGGGCAGCAGGCATATAGGGGAGAGCAGTTAGGGGCAGTAGGCCCATAGGGGAGGGCAGTTGGGGGGATCAGGCCTGCAGGAGAGGACAGTTGTGGTGATCAGGCCAGCAGGGAGGGCAGTTAGGGGTGACCGGGCCAGCAGAGGAGGGCAGTTGGGGGAAGACTAGGCCTGCAGGGGAGGGCAGCAGTCCTGGATTGTGAGAGGGATGTCCTATCGCCAGTTTAGGCCCGATCCTAGTGGGATTGGGCCCAAACCAGCAGTTGGACATCCCTCAACGGGTTAGATTGGAGAGGGTGCTGGCTGGGCTGAGGGACACTCCCCCTGTCTCGTTCACAAATTTTGTGCGCTGGGCCTCTAGTATTTATAGAACTTTAGAAGGGCTAATTTTAGAGGGACTAATTTCCCAAATGACTTAGTCTTGTTGAATTTTAATAGGTATGTTTAATATGTTTGTGAGGTGGCAATCACATATGCTCTTCCATCTGGTTTGCTTATGTCTAAAGATAAACTTATTTGGCTTAACAGATGAAAGTAATCAAGTTTCTCTGTTACTTATTAACTTAATCTCTTACAAAAGACAGAAAACGACAATTATTCCTTGGTGTCCTATCTTCCCCTTTTCTTCAGTAATAAGCTTCCTAACTGTTAGCTGAGCAAATGGCTTTCCAGTTAAGGACAGCATTTCCTAGACTCCTTTGCAGAGAGGTGCAGTCCTGTGACTAAGTTTCAGCCAATGGGAGGTGGGTAAAAGAGTAGTGTGACCCATTTTGGATGTGCACTGAAACAATGGCTGTGTCTGCTCTTCCTCATTTCCGACTTCTTGCTGTTGCCATGTGTATGCTCAGAACTGGTGAAGCCAGGGGCATGGAGCCACAACATAGAGGAAGGGTAGGTTTCTGGCACCATATCTCCAGAGATTGCTTAATGACCCAAGAAACAGACAAATATCCATCACCTCAAGTCCATGAAGAGATGTGAATGTACTGGGTGCCTGGGAGAAGACACTATCTGGCACTAGGAGAATCTGCTAGACTGGCCTAACTATAGAGGACTCTAAGCAAACCATGATGACTAACAGCTGAACAGAACTACGGAGTAGAAGGTGCTTATTTCAGTTCTAGGCAGAATCAGATGGTACTCAAATTAGGACAATTTGAGGAGAGTGTCATAAGGGGCTATTTAGAAAGATGTGATAAGGTATAGGGATACCACAGGGATAATGCAATACTCTAGAGCCAGAAGCAATAGGGCACCATGCCCCTCTAGACCTGAAGAAGCAAAGGATAGAACTGTTAGTGGTACCAGGATTTGGAGAGGATGTTTGTGGACAGGGCTACCTGATAGGAGCTGGGACCTTTCATCAGAGAATGCAGCCAGCCACGGTGAATCTACAGGGAGGAAGCCAGGGAAAAACATCCTCGGTCACTGTTCTCCCTCCCTCTGACCTCCCGCCATGATTCACTCTTAGCCAAACCCAGAAGAAGCCAGAGGCAGGAGAGCCATCATGCCGGGCAACAAGGCTTGGCACAAAGCAGCAAGGAGGAGGGCAGAGTGGCTCTGTAGGTAAAAAGAAGGATGTCTTTATTGTATATGTTCCATGCAGCTTCTTTCCACAAACTCTGAAGGCTGCTTGCTTTAAACAATATATGTAACATACGGAAATATTAAGGAAGAAGAAAAAGCGACCATAAATGCCTTGCCCAGATGAGTTAATAGAGAATTTTTAAAAATTTAAAGAAATAAACAGGTAAACCCACAGAGACAGAAAATAGATTAGAAATGGCCAGGGGGAGGGGACAGAGTGACTGCTTAAGTTTTGTAACTACACAGAGGTGACGGCTGCACAACATTGTGAATGTACATCATGCTACTGAACTATGCACTTTAA